CTGAGAGAAGTTGGCAAATTGACTCCTTTGTCTTCAGAGGGGCTGCTGCAGTTACGTTATTTATTTCTTCAAGTTTGTCTCATTAATGTCCTACCCACGCTTTACTTAAATCCCCTTTATCCGCCTCTTCACATACTTTTCCACTTCTTCACTTTCACACATACCTCCCTTCATCCGCTCTGACTAGGACCATCGTTATTAGCAAGAATGGGTTCCAGGATAGGCAGGATTTCTTGTGAGTAGATGGTTCATGATGGGTCAGCTTTTGGCCCCGTGCACATTCCACGTGCAGCCATTGGGTTGTAAGTTCTTTCTTTTGGAAGGGAGACCCCTGCCTCGGAGGATGCCGCTGTGCTGGTTGGCATGCCTCTTCCTGTTGCCGCTGAGCAGACAGCCCGGTGCAGCATCCTGAGTTGCAGTCTCATTAAGATTTACTGTAAACACCCAGGGGGTTCTTGGAAAATAATAGAAAAAGAAAAGTGTGCTTTTCCCTGTGACTAGCAGCCTAGTTTTGGTAGCTGTTGCCTCAAGCAAGTAAAATTTCTGAATATTGTTCTCAAACTTGAATTTCTGTTTAGCAAAAACCCTTAGGCTAATAACAGTGAAATAACAGCCATCCAAGTTTGAAATTAAAGATACTCACTTTGAAAGTCAACTAAATGTTGACTTCAACATATAATGTATATGTCTTATTTATTTTAACATACTTAATACATACTAATGTATTGTATCAGCACTTACCACATTATGTTAGCATTTTCTAAAATGGTCATTAAAAAAGAGAAAAAAGTATTCACACTTCAACTCAAACAAGACCAAAAATTATCCAGGGTGTCTCTCTATGCAGGTCTCAGTGGTAAGAGCCTCATTTTTCTAGAGATGGCCGTGACCTTTCATACATGTTATTATATAAACCTCTGATGTGCAAAAGTCTGTCTTATCCTCTCTAAAGTGGGAGTAAGTAAAGTACTGAAGGCTAATGATTTTATCGTTTCTAATCATAAGTCACAGCCATGTTCTAAGGGATGTTTCTGTAAAAGTTAATAATTTATTTATATACACGCCACCCAATTGTTATGTATTAATATTTATTTTTAAATAAGTTACTATATTATCATGCTTAATTATTTGGGATATGCAAGCCATGTTTTAAAACATTAAGAAATGAAACCAATGTGAATCATTCAGTAGGTTTTCTTGTTAGAATTCCTTTTATTTTTTTTTCTTTAGTTGTGTTCCCTCAATTCTCCCCGAATTGATCAAAAGCAAATAAAGTTTAACCCTCTGCACCCTTTTTTAATGTGGGGATAGATGTAATATGCTGGTTTAGGGTCATGGAGTGAAGAGGAAATTTTGAAGTTTTGAGTATTCCCCCAAAACAGTCTTCTTATCCTAATGCATTGTTTTGATGACATTTGTTAATCGAGGATTTTGTATGCAATTTCTTATCACAGCTGCAGCTTCATTTTTTCACTCCTCCCGTTTCCTTTGGTTTGTATTTTGCAGTGGGGACACCTTATTACATGTCTCCAGAGAGGATACATGAGAATGGGTACAACTTCAAGTCCGACATCTGGTCGCTGGGCTGTCTGCTGTACGAGGTGGGTAGTGCTAGCGGGGCCCGTTCAGGGCGGTGACCGTACGTGCTGGGCTACGTTCCCCTGTCCTTTTAGCACACACTTGGTTTTTTCTGGATGATGTTTAAGCTTTATAATTATGATGAATTAGCTTTTTACTTGTGAAGAGTTCATTAACTGACTTCGTAACTGTTTCTCTGAGGCAATATAGTAACTACGCATTTCTGCATTTGCTTCCTGTAATGTATTCTCGACTGTTTCCTTTTGATGAGTTTTATTGTTTAAATGTTATGTTAATGTTTTCTGCATAATCTTATTTATAAAAATATAC